TTGAAAACAGTAGTTATGTCTCTTTATCATCATTTAAAATAATAATTGTTTTTTTTTTCTTTTTTTCCTTGATAATACTCACTCTTACAGGAAATCAGAGGTAAATGGGATCCTGGTCCTCCATCGGCCCTGCAGCTGGAGGTGTCTGTTTCACAGGCCTCTGTGATGCTGGCGCTGGAAGGATAAGGTTTCACAGGTACAAAAGTTTCCACTTTAATCCTATCATGCAGAGTGAGTGGTCAGGGCTTAGGGCTCCCACTTTAATCCATAGGTTTATTCTCCATCCCGGTGAGCTCTGAGGTGGAGAGTTTGCAAGGAGGAAAAGATTACTGACCCATCTCTGATTTTATTGAATCAATGTTTGCACAGCAAACAGCAGGTCTGCACAGCAGAAAACCCAGAAGATTAGAATGCTTAAGCTTCTCCTCCAGAATATAGGTGTTGAATGTTCTAATAAATGGAATTTACCAATGCTGTTAAATATATGTTATTATAGACCTCTTGAGTAAAAAAAAAAAAGCAGAGGTATAGGGGTGTCTCAGTACAATAAAATTGCATATCAAAAAGTCAAAAATCTTAATATTGCTTACAACTAATGAAAACTAAATCAAATTGTCCCGAAATCAACAGCCTTCTTCAAATAAAAAACAAAAACATGTTTAGTCAAATATACTTAAGGTTAAATATAAGGTTAAGAATATTCACTTTTAAGGTCTAGATTTGTGTGACTACTTTTGCTGTAATCTTTTGCTGGTATAACACCACAATTTCTCCATTGTGAGACAATAAAGAGATTTTCTATTATATTCTAACAGCGCCGTTTTGTGGCTATGTTTCAACTGTCTCAATGATAGGAAAGACTAACCACCTTGGCAGCTGTCCAGAGAACAATCAGTGACAAATCAAGGGCAACCTACAAACCAAGAATACTTCAAGCATAATAATGGCAAGTTAATTGGAAAGAAAAGTGTTATAAAAGGGAAGTTCCTGCCTAAAGCAAAGAAAAAGTTCTTCCCTAACTGTATCAATATGTGATGTAAAAGAAGCCTTAATCAGTACGTCCATGCATGGAACGGTGCATGGCCATTTATTCCATACCTGAAACCTTTTACTTTGTGTGGAATGGGTACTGTGAAGAAGACTTCACCCATTATGGATTTTTCTGATTTGCTTTTTTCAACATCAGTACTGTAAATGTTATTTGTGTATTTAAAACAAAATGAATGATTATTTAATTAATCAATAGGTTACAAGTCTTATCTTTAATGAATTGTCACTGTGTAAAAGAAAAGCCCTCTGATTTGAATTTAATTTCTGAGCTCACTTCCAATTGCAAACAGCAAGCCCTAGTTACTGCCAGAGCTGTATTCTCAAGAGAGTGCTAAAAAAACCCACAAAACTCCTGAAATGATGAACAAACAACAGTTTTATTTTTTTTAACTCTACCCTAAAGAAATTTTACGTTATTAGGATCTGTCAGTTTGAAAGGGTTCAGGGAATCAAGCAAACCACAGTAAAAGGAATATCTATTGGAGAAGACATGATACAATTACTTCAAAAGTATTTTTGTCAAGATGATCCTGAAAGGAAAGGAAAGGAAATCCCCTCCATTTATTTAATTACCTTATCTACCCCCATTAATGTATCATAGCTTAATACAAGTCACATTGATGGAAGATATTAATTTATAATTGTTTTGATTGTTTTTTATCTCTGTGTGATGTTTTAGCATGTTTGTTTCTCGAAATCATTTTGGCTTGTCATTTCAATCCAATTTATCATGTCAATCCAAGTCAATTACTGTGTAGTCTTTCCTTAGCTCTCTACCGTGCAGATATTTTTATATTTAGGGGAAACATATTCCAGGACATAACAACTCTTTTCTTTTTTTATGCTTTTTTGTACAATATACTGTTTTTATATTGTCCGTTGTATTTTTATCTTTAATGGAATCTTGCTTTAACTCTTTCTACTCTATATAAGCTACTGTAGCCAGAATTTCCCTGAAGGAGTAATCCCAAGGGATAATTAAAGCTGAGTCTAAGTTTAAGTCTATTTCCTACGTATTGTATTCTATCATATAGTATCATATGTTTTATATTTATTTTTCATAAACTGAATGAGGGACAAGAGGTTAAAAAAAATACCTTTTTGTTTCAACTCTAACCTGGTACTGCAAATGTAATCAAACCATGTCTAACTGAATCGTCCCTATAATATTATATTCATTAAATTACTGTACCCCTGGGTTATGCAGCGGTAGAATCATAAATACATTTAACTGAATTCAATTTAACAGCCTAGTCTAATGCATTAAACATGGTGTTGATGCTTGGTAATGATCCAGTGTTGCTTAATTCAAACATCTCTACAGAAGAGATCAGCCCAGAAACCCGGTTCAGTGATCTAAAAGTCTCATTACTAATTGTTGCAAATGCTTGATGCTGTTTGTTGCTTTCAAGCAGAGGAAAGTCTGTTAACTTGGGTGCAAAGACCCCCCAAAGCAGATTAAATCCGAGAGGTTAATGCTATCTAACTTTATTTTAGTTTATGAAGTTATTAAAGTAAACGGTAGATACAGCTAAAGGGACATGTAGAAACAAATACAGAAAGTATTTGAGAATAGAAAAAGAAAACGCCAAAAGTAAAATATTTAAAAACCAGACAGAATCATTCCATATATTGTTGTTTTTTTTATTGTTGCTTTATTTATAGGACTAAAAACTGTAAAATATGGACCATCTAAAAAAAAAAAAAAAAGTATCTAACATGCTGTTTTCACAAACAAGCTTCTTCAGCCTCTCTGTGGAAGATATGGTTGATGTTCTCCTCTACGAACAGACCAGAAACGTCTTTGATTCATTGCAGAAAGCAGACATTCCCAGAAATTTAATACATTTTCACTCTGACAACGACAAAGCAAATTGCTTCATCCTTCTGCAGGTTCCTTGAAGTGTGAAACTTGAAGGAAGAGTAGATCTTTTGAAGGCAGGTAGAAGGCGTTGCAGGGCTGAGAGGTGCTGGAAAGGGCATGTCCAAACAGACCATAGTCCCTGAGTGATGGGGCACGGGAAAAGGTAACGGGACACCTCAGCCTTGCTCTGATGTCAACACGGTCATATGAATCACAGCTATGAGTGCGTCAGAAAATCCAGGAGACAAAAGCAGGTTCGGTTTGAGCTTTCGCAGAATCTTCAAGCCTTTTCCCTAATACTGAACTCTTTTAGTTGTGAATTTGTGTTTTTTACCCTTAAAATTTGATTAATAAATGTGAAGCTAAGGAGAAACGGTAAAGATAGACAGATAGAACCAGGACAGAAATTTAAAGAGCTTTTTTTTTCAAGAGCTCTAACCTGATAAGAAAATCTGGCAGTGTTGTAGTTGTTGACGGCAGGATTTGTTAAGAACATTTCCAAAGCTTAAGTCTAAATGTACAAAGCTGCAGTTGACTGTTTGAAAACTGAGGTGTGTCCTTCTTCTGAGATAAAAAAAAAAAAAAACTGTAGTTGCCTTGTTTTCTTCCATGTTTTAATCACCAACACCACAGGCTGCTAAACAGTCCCATAGCATGATGCCATTACCTCCATGCTTAGCAGTCAGCCCAATATCTTAATATTTAAAAGCTTTACAATAACTCCTTCAGGTTCTCACACTGATTTCCCCAATGCTGTCTCCTCTTCCCTGTTTTGGGCACTCTGACTTAGGCCCCGTCCACACGAAGACGAACCCTGGCCTAAACGCACAAATTTTCACCAAACCAGCCTCTCATCCACACGAAGCCGGCGTTTCGGGGGTCTGTAAACGATCATTTTTTTATTCACCCTTCAGAGTGGGAAGATTCTGAAACGCCGTATTCGCGTTTCCATCTTTACACCCTAACCGCATTTTTTTTTTTACACGCATGCGTCATAGCGTCGCCTCTAAACACGCAAGCGCGACACATCACAACAACAATGGCGCCGTTGCTGCTAATGCTACTCACCCTGCTGTCGGGCTGGTCGGGCTTACAACAGAATCTTCTTCTTCTGGAATATCTCCAGGAAGAACAGAGCAATATCGACCACATAGTTCAGCACCTGAATTTGACTTAACCACGAAAATAGACCCGCAGGGCAACCATGTATAAATATTAGTGCGCATGCCCTACATTTCGTCGCTTATTTTTGCTTTGGCACCACAGCGCCACTTACAGGCCTGGCATACATTTTGCAGCATTTTCATGCATTCGTGTGGACGCTCACATTTATTTTACGTCTCCGTCTTTACGGCAAACGTTTTGGAAAATATCAGCGTTTCGTGTTCGTTTTGACTTCGTGTGGACGGGGCCTAAAACAAACATGGACCAAGCGCACTGCTGATTCACTGGTGCAATTCTAATGTTAAGAGGTGTGACAGGGTGTGACTACTTTTATGATTATTTCTAAGAGCTGCTGAAGTGTAATAAAAAAAGGCTGGATAAAAAAGCATACTGTTAACATAATATCAATGATTCATCTTCTTTTTCCAGGCCTTTTTTGCAACAGAGACCTCCATGGGCAATAACATGCCAGCTTGCACCATGCTTAAGATTTAAACCTCAACATTACTGTCACGGCCCTTTCCTCTGACCTGCAGGGGCGGTTCCTCCTGTACAAATTGGAGCCACTTGGGCTCCTTATATAAGTTGGGCTCCACTAACACTCTCTCTCTCTGCTCCTCCAGGTATTTCCTTTGTTGGTTGGTTCATTTTGGTTTTGGTAACACTCAGACACATTCATGTTCACCCACTCATACACTGCACACACTAAACATTCTTACATACTCGCATCTCATCTTTGTTTTATTTAAGGTTATTTATTGGTTACAATAAAGTATTGATTGGCCTAAATCGTTTGGTGTCCCCTCCTTTTTGTCATGGGCATTGAGCCGGCCTGTGACAATTACTATTGGGGTTGATGCTAAATTAATTTGATATGTTAAATTATTTATTTCAATAAAAAAAAAAAAAAAAAAAAAAAAAACATTTTTACAAGTTTAATTTTAATGCTCATTTAATACAATCCACAGTTTCAGAAAAATTCATACAGGCTGAAATACGTACATACACACCAACTAATATTGGGTTATCTGCCCTTGTGCAAATAGCTAAAATCCAACACACTCTTTTGAATGCTGCTATTGTGACAATTCTTTCTACCAAAGTTGGTACAGTTCATCTAAAATAGTTGATTCCTCTGTGCAAATGTGGCTCCTCTGTATAGTTCAGTTAAGGAGATTAAATGCATTTTTAATTGACCCAGCTGTGCCCAAGGTTTAACACTCTGATTCAAGCTGTCACACCCAGATGAAAGAAAATGAGTCTTAAACTAGGCTTAGGAACCATCCTAATTTAACTGCAGCATAAACTGGAAAATGCAGGAAATTTAAGATTTAAGATTAACATGGATGCAGAAGGTATAAACCAAACAAATAAAAAAAGAGGCAAATGCTCCAAGATAGTCTTAATACTCAACTAAAATATCCAGTGGAATTTCTTCTGGTTAAAGGTTTTTGGGCGGGGGAAACAGAAGACATATCAACATGTCACCATAAAGTGTGTTTCTAAGGCAACCAGAGATGTTTGCAGCAGATATTTTCTTTGTAATTGCATCAGATCACAGAGAGAGGGCAGCAAACATCAGGAAATACTTATTTACCCTTCCCATCATAGTTGGTGTTTCACTTCCAGTCAATGAATCAGATTTTTTTTTTTTTTTTTTTTTTTTTAAGTGGTTAAAATATCATGATGGAAAAACACTAAGTGTAAAAATTACATTTATTCAAAGTGATCTGCATAGAATGAATCCAGTTAGGTTAAATCTGTTGAGCAGTTTTAACTGCTGATGCTAATTTGACTGTTTGCTATGGAAAACATAAACATGTATCACATTGCACTAAGTTCCATCACATTGTTCATGTACTGTATGAAATAAATAGGTTTGAACTAATGCTAATTTATTTGAAGAAAATTCAGCATAAGGCAGAATAAGGAGTGGTTTTCCTCAAAATGAGTAAAACATAAGTGAACTTAAACTAACTTCTTTACTAAAAATAATGAACAAATTGCTGCACATTATACTTCAAGCAACATGTGCATTCATTTTTTTTTTCCTGTGCCCAACTATGATCCTTTATAATTTATCAAAAAGTCAAAAGGAATGTTAAAGTGTCTCTGTTTTGATCACCACTAGTACATCATGATCTCCTTGGGAGCATCCTCCGTTGGCTTCTCCTGCTCTCTTCTGTGCATGTAGGCTGCATGGTCGTACAGGTAGATGGCCAATATAGCTCCCACAGAGAGCACGGTGTAAGGGATAAGCATGAAGTACCCCACCAGCATCGTTGACTTTTTGTTTGACAGTTCTAGATTATCGGTGTCAATACTGCCAATTTGAGGAACCAACTGCTCTTGCATGTCTGTCACATTGATGTTCAGGACGAATAAGATGATGACCAAAAGAGACAAGCAAGCTGCAAAAGGAAAAGATTGCATTTAACTCAGCTGCACATACACATATTTTGATATTCTGTATTAATTAAGACCACAAAGCAAAATCATGTACAGTTACACATTGAATTTTCTTTCTTTCTTTCTTTCTTTCTTTCTTTCTTTCTTTCTTTCTTTCTTTCTTTCTTTCTTTCTTTCTTTCTTTCTTTCTTTCTTTCTTTCTTTCTTTCTTTCTTTCTTTCTTTCTTTCTTTCTTTCTTTCTTTCTTTCTTTCTTTCTTTCTTTCTTTCTTTCTTTCTTTCTTTCTTTCTTTCTTTCTTTCTTTCTTTCTTTCTTTCTTCCTTTCTTTCTTTCTTTCTTTCTTTCTTTCTTTCTTTCTTTCTTTCACAAACACAAAAGCCTAAGAGTAAGTTTTTTGGACACAAAATAAATCAAATATATATAAAAAAAGACCGTTAATGCAAAATTTAAAGAGTTCTACTGAAGCTGTCTTTATATGTTGTTTTCATTTTATTAAGCACTACACTGCAACTGCTGTAATAATCACTCACCTGCTTTTAGTTCCAGGAGAATCCCTCCCCCTCTCGCCTTGGGTTTACATGGCTAAGTTTCACTTCCTCCCATTATGCCCACACCTTATGTTTTTTTCAACTCCACCATACCCTTCTGGTTTTCATACCACTGACTGAACTGTTCTATTCAAGATAATCAAAGCCTTTGCTGAAATCCCAATTTAGTTTAGTAGTGAAAGATTAAAATATTTCAAATCAAATATATGTTACACTTTTACTGTTATGTTCTTTCTGCCTTTATTACATACTAGGGATGTAAAACTCAAAGGTATACAGTCTTAAGGTTTTTGCATACTAAACAAAGACATTCTAGTTAAACTCACCACTGATGGAGGAGCAGGTGTAAACCCCGATAGGCCCCATGTAGGTCTGGTAAGGGTTGCTGACGCTGTTGTAGAGCGAGATAAGGATGCTGAGGGCTGAGAACAGCAGGCACAGGACCAGCAGGGCCACACACAGAGCATGGAGAGCCAGAGAAGCTCCTTTTATGACTGATAATTCTGTAAACACTGTAGACACACATAAAATATCAGACTATAAATCTATAAAATGAAACGCATCGTACATCATAACGAATTGGTATGTGAAGAACACACATGTAGCTAACCGTATCATACTAGGCTATGGTTAAAGTGAAGTTTTAACTTATGGGAGACGTGTTGTGAGGAAGTTACTTGAATAATTACCTGAAAAATCCTTATAATTGCCAAAGCTAGGACACGTTTGTCTTTCTAAGAAGCCATTGAAAAGGCCCAGTGTGATTTCTGCACTCCCGTTGTTGGTTATAAATCCTCTGCAGTCCATAGTTGTTCTAGACCAATCATCTGACATGGCAAAACCAAGCAGACCGACAGATATTGCAGTCAACAGCGCACTGAGAAAAAAATGGATAATCTTTGTCACAGACGGCATTTTTTTTTCCTCTTCCAGATGTTCCCTTGGAGTCAAAATCAAAACGTCTTTCCAATCAAACAGGATCAAAGAAAAGAAAAGAAAAGAGGACACCTTTTTGTGTCTTCGTTGACCACAGTGTATGAGTTACATCCCCTGGGTGGAGTGAAATGTGGACCTGTAGGTCATAAAATCCCTTGTTTATGACTGCGACCTTTGGAGTGACAAGAGGAAAGACAGAGTTGGTTGTCATAGTAGAGACCGCTTTACCCAAACATGATAACTTTGTCACGTCATTGGAGAGCATGTGAAGTAAAAACCGTATCGGTGCTCTCTATGTAAAGCAGGGATTCATAATTTAGGAACAAGCGAAAACATAAAAAGTTACTTTGACATCAAGAAATAGGGCACTGTAAACTAAAATTTCCTTCAAAGCTACTTTTATTAATCTGTTTTTTTAGTCTTGGATTCAAAGTCCTGTTGTTTATATTCTCATAAAAACAGATTAATAATTTACTCTATTTAAAAAAAGAGAAAGAACTGATCATTGAGTTATATGAATGCGTCACCGGTGATGGCAGTAAAACCATGACAAGTGTTGGCCATGATTACATGATCACAGCAGCTGTAAGGGAACAAAGTTAGCAATGGAACTATGAAGACACAGAAACAATCTAAAACAAGGCCATTGACAGATAAAGCTGATTTCCATGTCTTATTTTGTACTTTACCCATTTGGGAACAGGCCAACAGGAACACCAGCAGGAAATACAACAGCACCATGAGACCAGGCAGGAGGAGAGTCATATTTTTTCCACTATCATTGGCTGTTAAAAAGTTAAAAGAATCTGCTTTGAGTCAATAACACAAACAGTTAGAATTTACGTTTAAAAACTGTATGATAGTTAGGTTGCCTTCAATTTTGAAATATTTGCAAATAAAAATGGTACATATTTAACAGCTAAAAGAGAAAAGAAAACACTTTAAAGCATAAGAAAATCAACTTTTCAGCTAACAATAAGGTTTTAAAAATAGTTTTATTTGAGGTATTTCAATTAATAATCTGAGTAAATGTAAAAAGTTCTTGTTGTTTAGTTTCCTATATGACTTAGATGTCCCAGAGGTGGGGCTGGATCACGGTCTGAAATAGGTTTGATGATAAACTTTAGATAGACTTTTTATGAGCTGCTGGTAACAGCAGCTATTGCAGCTGATATCCAAATATGACGCAACATGCCATACTGACAACCAAGACTATGCTTTCAAAATATTTATGATTTATCTTAAGTAATTAGAAAAAATCATTCTTGCATGTTTAGCCTCAGGCTGTTAGTTTAAGTTGATATCCCTGTTCTACATACTGAATTATAGGCAAACATTATAGGAAAACATGTTGTGAATTCTTACAGTACAGAGTTCTTCTGTTTTTTCTTTAGTTGTATTTAATATTTAAGATCATAAAAAGAATTCTAACATCAGATTCAGATAAATATGAAACACAGTTACAAAGACACACATGTATCTACTCTGTGCAACTAATCATCACTTTGTTTTAAACCACAAATAATGAGTTTTTAAATTCCTGCTAAACAATTTCAGAACAATCTTCTTTTTAGAATGTTTTAAATCACCAGCATTGGATGTGTGTTTGAATACTTAACAACATCTTTAAAGTTATGCAGAGGCATCCCAGGACTTGAGAACAAGTCAAAGATTTCTTTGATCTCTTGGGATTTTTTAGCCTGCTTCTTGTCGTCAAACAGGTTTTATCCAAGTGATTTCTTTATTATACAGATCTGATAGTAACCATGCTTTGGTGTGATTTATAAATGGCACCCCCCTGCAATTTTTTTCTACTAATTGAAATGTCTTTAAATACACAATAAAATTATATGTCTTATTAGCTCAATATACATTCATAATTTAGGAATATTACATATTTTTTACTTAATTTCAGTTAAAATTACAGTTTTCTCTAAAATCTGAATTAGAACTCAAGAAAAACTGATAAATTCAGCCGTAGAATTAGATCCTATCTCAATAGCTATCACCTTATTGTTTTTAAATAATTAGTATTTGTAAAGAAAAAAAATGAAATAGATCCAAAGGACCTATCAGTAACCATATCTGTTCCAGTGCATAGCATCACTAGAATTTCTTTGAGTAATATGTCTTCAGGACAGAGGCCATAACAGGGGCCTGGACATGATCTACAGTGACACTGGCCCCCGTTAGCCCCCTTCTAGAACCACCCATGATCAATGCACACCTTCAGCGACAAACAGGAGCTTTTTCAAGCTGGGCACCGTTTCATTCCCAATACCTGTCCCATCAACGAGCAGTCAGAATCAGAAATACTTTAATAATTCCAGGGAGACATTACTCTTGTTACATTACTCCATCTGCAGTTTGATATGACACAATTTCATACAATATATATAATTAGGGGGTCCCCGCGTCATCTCACCATCAGGTTGGGGGTCCTTGCCCTGAAGACCCCTGCTTTAGAATGAACCATCAATAGAATTAGTCAATGAACAATTTGTTTATGCTGTAATCCAGCTTTTGGTCAGCAGATGTCGCCCTTTCCCCGGTAACCTTGCTGTCGCAGCTGACAGGCAGCCTCTGTTGTGTTGGAGTAAACCTCTAACTCCACCTTCTCCATTGACAGGCGGCAACACTGAACCTCTGCCTCGCCTCCTCCAAGAAAATCTGCGCTCAGGACTTAACATCCAAAGCCATAAAGGTGAGTAATATGTCTTTAATTCGTCGTTCCTTCTCTAAAAATCCCAGCTGTGTCCGTTATTCTAGCAGGAAACGTCATGATTTCAGTCGTTTGGTGTTACCTGTCCTTTACGTACCACGGCAGGCAGCGGCGCATGCTGGTTTTTTATTTTCCTCCCCTATGAAGCGTCCATTTCAGGTGTGTTTATTGCTTTAATCATTGACTGAGCACATCTATCGGCTTGGTTATGTTTGTGAAGCTGTCAGTCTGCAGCTTCTTTAATAAGACTCCGGTCCGTCAAAGTGGGTTAATGGATCAAGCTTTAGGAGTTTCCTTTTTTTTCTTTATTCTCCATGTCTTTTGCCATATTTCTATTAAAATGCATTTGTTTTCCTAATATTCTGATCTTTAATTTGTTTCTATGAGCTTCATTTGAGGCACTTCCAACATGTCGGTGAGGCGCGCCTGGATTGATGGATCTACCATCAGTGTTTTCCTCTCTTTGCTGCACATGTTAGCTGAGGATTTATGTATTTTTTTTCCCTCATCATGCATGGCTATGTGACATGTATTAATCCCTTTAGGCAGGCTCTGTAGCAGAAGAGGTCAGAGGTCAGGGGCAGCAACAGATCAGCATCCTTGTTGCAGATTGCCTTCAGCACACAGCTGGATAAAAAAGCTTGGGAATTATGTCCTATGGTGGATATATCTCTTTATATAATGTATATAAACATCTTTTTTTTTTTTTTTTAGTTTTATGTCAAAATAAACAAGAATTTAAAAAGCTGTCAAATAGCACCAAGATTATGATTACAGTTTTGAAAGTAAGAAAGGTTCAGCCTTTTAAAAACTGAAATTCTTTGAAATTAATTGTATTTATCAGATCACATACTACTAAAAAAAGCAAGAATTTTTAAAGGAAACAATCACTGAACAATCACTTACACCCCTGATTTTAATCCACCTTGAATTATCATGTTTAGTATGAATTTGTAGCAGATGATTCTATAATGTCTGTTTGGAAACTACAAAAAACCACAGACTATAAGCAAGCATTGAATAAAAAAAAAAATGACATAAAAAGATTGAAAGATAGTTGGTTGACTGCTCAGACAAATGACCGGATGAAATAAGGAATCATTCACACTATGGGATAGGGAATAAAATATTATTTTCCACACTTCTTTTCCTGTTATTAACATAGACTAAACTAATTTAAGAAATTCCAGACTTTCCCAGTTTTTTTAAAAACCCTGCTTTTGCTTTCACCTTGATCTCCTGCGGGGACAGTTGTGTTGATTTCAGGGTTGTAGGTTCAAGTCTCAGCTCTAATTTTCAATATCAATGTGTCCTTAACCTGCGTTGCGGTCATGAGGCCCAGTAGTGCCTATGTGCAGCAGCCTCACCTCTGTCAGTGAGCCCCAGGGCAGCTCTGGCTGCAATGTTGCTTGCCACCATCAGTGTGTATGTGAATGACTAATTTGTAATGTAAAGTGCTTTGTCAAGTCTTCTGACTTGAAAAAGCATTACCGTATAAGTACAGGCCATTTGGAATTTACTGTAATTTTAACCTACAGGTCAAATTACGAAAAATCAGTGTTATTAACATGTAAGGACATCAATCAGCAACATGTTCATTTTGGAATAAGGACATTTAAGTTAAATTTGTGTGACAAAAGGTCAATAGTGTTGTAACCTCACTTTCTGTTGCATTGAATTATTCTGCAGCTATCAATGAACCAGGGGAAAATTTTTGGGGGGCTTTTATCAGCTGGGGTTGGTCTTTTTTGGTGGCCTTGAGTTTACTTTTCTGTTATTATCCTTAGCTCATTTTATCTCCAAATGCAGCAAGTTTTGAAAATCTTAACTCATAAATGCTTATAGGGATATTATTTTCAAAACAAAACCTTGTCTCTTCACTGCTGGCACCTGGCATAAAACCAAACATGAAATTTAATAATTCTGCATATTGTCTCACATTCAGTATTTTAACCTTCATTGCTCCCAAAGCAAGTCTAGTAAAACTAAATGATAAGATTTTGGCACAGTAAGTTTTTTTTTTTTTTTTTAGAGACACTGATTTTGTGTATTTTTGTGTATTCCTGATTTGTATTTTCCTTTCAACACAACGCTGTTTTTAATTTTATGGCATAATTTATATAAAATTTGATACAAAGAAGTAATTTTACAATTTTATTGTTTCACCCATTGGGCAAACAGTTTTCTGTTTCTTCTTCTTTTTATAGTCGTGTATGAAGAATTTGATTTGGACCAATTCTGTTTTTTTATCTCAAAATTTTACTGCATTAAAGAAAAACATGTATTTAATAGTGTTGCGCCGATGCCATTTTTTGGCCCCGATACCGATACCCGATACCTGGCTGTGCAGTATCGGCCGATACCGATACCATAATAATGTAAAATAATTGCCATCATGGCTTTGTAAAGCTGCTGCCT